AGTTAGCAGAGCGCGTTCTAATACGTGCGTGTGTATGTATGTGTGCCTAAAAAGGGTGCAGAATGATTGGAATATCAGACTGGAGGGCTCAAGGTATCTCCTAGTCGAGCAGTCTCGACTAGAGTCTTCTTACTTGTTTTGACTTGAAATATACGAAATATCCGCTTAAACTTAGTTTTCGATAGTTCTACCCCATTTTTCTTTTGCACCCAAAATTTATAGCTTGCTTTTTATATATAAAATACCCGCTTTAAATTTATCTTCAGTAAGTTACGTCGTTTGCCCTAAACTGGTCTTGACTTTAAAAGTGTTCAAAATAATCGCATCAACTTTATCTTCAATAGCTATACTTGATAATTCCCTTGATAATTCCCTTTTCCCCAAACTTATTTATAGCATTAAAAAATTGAATTTCATTAACTTTCAGCTCAGATTAAGTTCTCTGAAAAATAACAAACACTAATCTGGAAATATTTCATCCCATAAAAAGAAAGTAAAGTCATCTTTAAATAGTAAAGCAGACAAAATAAGTGTATAAAACTTTGTTCTTGCTTCTGGCAGAAATTCTGAAATTGATTTCTTTACACTTGAAGTGTTTGCTACATTTAAGTTAAGTCTGACTCGACCATTCTTCTTCTTCGCTGGGGTAGTTTAATAAAATAACAAATCCTTTCAATATTTCCATTTAGCTTTTCGCACCGCTTGCTCCGAGTGTATCGCGTTTTTATTTAACTCTTTTATAAAGTGCAGAGCAACAGAAATTAGAGAAGCAGATGCCAGCAGCAGAAAAAATAAATAAATAGGCGAACGTGTTGGTAGTGAGCCGGAGCCGTAGCCGGAGCCGGAGCAGGTCGTGGGTCGTGGGCATGGTCGGTGTGGGGCAGGTTGGTCGGTTGGTTGGTTGGGATAGTTCAGAGTTCAGGCTGTTTGGGTCGCATCACGATAACGCTTTGTAAATACTTTTGCTGCACTTTGGCTGTTGTTGGTTTTTAGTTTTTTGTATTTTTTGTCGTTTCCTTTAGCTTGGCATGGCAAATTTTTATCTCCATTTGCGCGTTGCGCTTTTTTCGGAGCTTAACTGGGGAAAAATCACGACCTGGAAAAACAGGACGAGAGCAGGACGGACGCTCTACTGCTGTACTGCTGTGCTGCCTGCTGCGCTTTTGTTTTTCGGCGTTAGGAAACGGCGAAAAGGATATTATTAAGCGTGGATGTCAACGTTATCGCCCCAGAGTTGGACAAAGGCAAGCGCTAAGTGCATAGCGGCAGGACAGCAGCTCGGACTAAGAGAGGGATTGAGTGAGAGGGAGAGAATGAGAGAGAGAGAGAGAGAGAGAGAGAGAGAGAGAGAGAGCAAAGTGTGAACGGCGTGAAGAATTCTGGCGCTGTTTGGAAAGCTCTTTGCCAAATTAAATATTAAAACCATGTGCACTTATGCAACTTTAATGCAATTTTAGCCAAATAAACGAGCTACCATTTTAGCCGACATCAAATAAGAGAATTACGCGAGCATACACCACGTATACTTAATTTTTGTGTATTTCATTCCATTATCTGTGAGTGGGTGGGTGTCTGTGTGTGTATTCGGCATCTGAAGTTCGACTACGTTTGTGGTTTTGTGCGCATATAAAAAGGATTAATACACTTAAAAGGCACAGGCACCGGCACAGCCACGGGCTCCGGCACAGACGGACGAACGGAGAGTTCTCAATTACATGGCCACGCTAAGCGCACATTTACGTGAAAGCCAAATGAAGCCGCAACAGCAGCAACGCAGCAGCAGCAACGGCAACGGCAAAACAAGCAAAACTACAACAAGAACAAGCAAAGCAGCAGCAGAGCAGTAACAGAGGCAGCAGGCTGGCTGGCCAATAAAGCGAAACCGCCTTAATTTAGGGGCAGGCCAAGTTTATGTCGCGCAATGGGCATGAAAAATTCAACAGCAGCAACACTGACAACGTTGACAAGCCCCGCACTGGAGGCGGTTGGGGCGCCAAGTAACGTAGCAGCAGTAGTTGACGCTGCTCAGTACAAATGCCAAAATGTCACAGGCGGTGCTCGTGCTGTTGTTGTTGTTATTGTTGTTGCTGTTGCAACTTGAATCACATCCTTCCCTTACAACCAAACATGTGATTTTCGGTCAGATGGCACACAGTCGCACATCTGTGCATATACACATACAAACATATATACAATATATGTATATATATTTTTGTGTGCATATGCATTGGTTAGCCTCCTGCACTTTGGCGCTGTCTTGGCATTTTACGTGTGCCCCTTTATGTTTGCCACAGTTGCGCTCTTGTTGCAGCTCTTTGTTTTTGTTGTCGCGTTGTTCCGCTGAAACAATGTCGCGCTTCCCGCTTTGGCCCCAACCGCCGTTGGCTTCGTTCTTTTAGCTTTCATTTTGTTTTTGGACCACACTACACAAAACTACATTTTACTGCATGACAATTTATTGAGTTCCTTTTTTGGGTGTCTCCTCGCCCCGCTCTCTACTTCCTCTACCCGTCCAACTTCTCATTTGCCGCTCCGTGTGGCTCTTGGTTCTGGTTTATGGGCCGGAGGAGAGGTTCTTCCTGCTATTGCTCGTAGGTTCGTTTTGCTGGTTGTAAATTTTTATTGTGCGCCTTGCGCTATGGTAAAAATGCTGCAGGACTTCTTGTTTTCACCAGCAGATAGTACGTATTTTATTTGCCATGCAAGCGGGTCTGGCAGCAGTTGCTTCATTAGTGCTGGAGATGCCCCAACTAACCTGTCGAGCGGTTGGCTTGAGAAAACTCATACAATGTTGACTCTCACCACAAACAATCCAATTCGTTTTAAATCCCATGAAGCAGCTCACTTTTCTCTGTTTATGGCAATAACCTGTTTGTGTAAGTTCGTTTCATTAAAAAGTTTGCAAGTCATAAAGAGCATAACGCAATTGAGTTTGAAAAATAGAAAGAAAAGAGATTTATGCCATATCCTACAAATTTGTAATCTTAGCCGAAAAGTTTGGCTGTTCATTGTAAGTTTCCTTTTCAGAGATTACTCTCTATTTACTCCAAATGCACTCTTCATATTTATTTGGGATATTCGTATACTCTAATTTCCTTTGGTTTCCTGATCAGCTCGCGTATGCTAATAAACCACTGACTGAGATCCATTTGCTCAAGACAGAGGCTGTGAATCCTTGTCAAGCTTTAAAGTACTAATGATTAAAAATACTTCAAGCATCTCACGTCATGAATCTATGCCAATTAAATTTGGTAGGAAGTGCCGAAGACTTGAGGCTTTTAATTAAAATAGGAAAAGTGCAGAGATTTTAGCATATATTTAATATAGCACAAGGGTTTAATAAACATGTATATACACTAAAGAAGAGAGATCTGTGTTCTCCGCTTATAATGAATATTTTTTGTGTCTTTAAAAGAGATTATAAATTTTCATTTCTTTTCAACTGTGTTGTATTCTTCATAAAATAAAATCTTTCTCGGCTCTGCATTATTTTCACAACTATTTCATACATTTTGAGGAGGCTTGCGAAATATGCTGCCGACAATAATTTATTTATTTTTAAATCAATGCAATAGTTTACTATTTACTGTTTTGATTTAATATTTTATACACTAAAAAATATTACTGGCAGGAGGCGTTTGCACCGAATCCATTCAATGAGACCTCAATTTCATTAGAGAATTTGTTGTTCCTCGCAGACTGACAAATATTTTTATTGCGCCAGCCTTTTTGCTTTTATTTACATTTTTCTGTTCTGTATATTTTATTTTATTTTTATTAGTATTTGTTGTTGTTGTTTTATGTGAAAAATTTAGCAAATAGCGCAGTTGCTTTTACTTACTTTAGTTTTATGCTTGCACGCTTTTATTTGTAGCCGCCGCTGTTGGTTTTTACTGCTACAGTGTGTATCTTTGTGGCTTGCTACACACATGCACACACACACATATGGCACATCATGCGATTTATTTACATTTTTCGTATGTTTTCATTGCATTGCCGCAGCTTGAACGCAAATATTACAAACATAAACACACTCAGACACAAGCGCCCAATCTGCTTAGCACGTGAAACTTGCTTGAGACCCTGATTGAGTGTGTGTGTGTGTGTGTCTGTGTATGGAGGTCCTGGCATATTTATGATGTGGCCACAACTCAACTGCGACTAAACTTCATTCATAACTCTGCTGCAGAAAAGGCAATCAAAGCCACAAAAATTGTCCATGGCTCGACACCTGCAGCACTCACACACACACACACATATACGAACATACGTCACTTGTATGTATGTGCACACATATACACACACATATGCAAATTGGGCCATGGCTGTCAGCTGTGGGCGCATAAAAAATGCAAACTGCACCACCCGCCACCACCCGCCACCACCCGCCACCAGCCGCCTAGCAGCAGCTTATCCCCAGTTAACCGAACAGCGGCGCAGCTGACCAGGCGTTGACCAGGCACACATTAAATATGACCACCATGGTCGCCGTCTGCCATCTGCCGTCTGCCGTCTGCCGTCTGTCGACTGTCAGGTCTGACTTTATATCCGGGCGGGGCACAGCTGTGTGAATTTACACACATTGCAATTTTCAGTTGTCGCTACTCCTGGTGCCCGTGGTGCTGCTGGTGCTGCTACTGCTACGTTCATTTGGTGGTTAGCCGTCTTGTGCGCGCACTTGCGCAAACACATCTTCGATTTCGTCGACTCCACTTGCCCTTGAACGCCGTCTCTGGACTATTAAAACAATAAAATGCTGCATAAAACAAACTTTGTGCCCAGGCCCATGGCCGTGTTGGGTCCGGCGTTCAGTGTGGTGGCAGATTGCCTGGCCACAGCAACAAAACCAACAAGTGTTGTTGCCGTTGCGGTGACAGGGCTGCTCCTGCTAGTGCTGCTCCTGCTGCTGCTATTGCTGCTACTACTCCACCTGGCTGCACTTGCGGACAACATGTGGTATGCGTTATATTTTATATGGCGTTTGCCTTTAATATTTATGAAAAGTGTTGCCCGCTTTTCGGCGCTGGCCACGGCTGCGGCATTGCGTTCGCCTCATTTCGTGGCCATGGGCGTGAGAAATTTCAGTGTGTGTGTGTGTGTGTGTGTGTGTGTGTGCCTATGTGTATGTAGGTATGTTGGCTTAAGTGTTGCCACTGGCCCGCTCAACTAATTTGAAATTAATGAAATTCCTTGAATAATTGAATTTGAATCGTTGGCATCTGTGCAATTAGTCGCTGCTATCAAAATGCACACACTCACACTCACACCCAGACGCATACTCACACACATGGAGCCATAATAAGCAGCGACGCTAACAGCGCACCTCATTATATGTCATGTGATCTCATTATACCCAGCAGAGCCTGGCTTGGCCGCCTGGCAAATACCTAAATATATGTATTATGTACAGCCACAACCATTATATGTGCATGTGTGCGGCCTGCACTTGTGTGCGTGCGATTATGCCATGTAGATTTACAGCAACGTTATTTAGTGCATGACAGTTAAATGAGTTGTGGCTTGCAGCTGTAGCTTGATTTAGGCGCATTTAATCAAATAAGTAGGCTTTAGGCTACAGAGCAATCAAAGTACATACATACATATAGGCGTCCGCCTGCACTGAACTTAAATTGCACTTACTTTAATAATTACAGCGATTTGATTTGCGTGCGTGTGTGTCCGTGTGTGAGTGGGCTAAGCGTAGCAAAATGTTGCAATTAATGCTTGACAAAACATTTCTGCCATGCGGAGATAAGAGTCGACCATTTGAAACTGGGTGTAAATTAATTATATTGTATGGCTGCAGCACTCTGTGACGTTCTCAGCATCAGAACTAATGCAGAGAGGTATTTCCTAGGTTTCCCATAATCCATGGCGCATATGCATTTGCCTATCAAATTGCATTCACATTGCAAGTTCTAACGGCAATTTGTCTCTGCCCAGAGCTGGTTCGTTTCATTAGTTTCCCTCATTGCGTGGCAAGTTTTGCAGCGAAAGGGTCCCCTCTTGGCAGGGGGCATAGCACAAAGGGCAGTTTACCGAGCATTAAGTACATACGAAACTGCAACGTTGCCCATATTACGTATACGCCCTTTCTGCCGTCTTGCTTCAGCATTCTGCCTTCTGCCAGATGCTCGCTATCTCACACTGCAATCAACGTTTCTCATATTTAAAACTGCAAAAGCCACACACAGAGACGCAGGCATACGCACGCAGTCACATGTAGCTCGTATAGCCCTTAAATCGACTTCATTTGCTCATTAGTTAGATAGTCCCGCATGTCGCTTTGCCGTCCTCGCGGCGACGCTGCATAACAACATTTCTAATAGGATTTTCCGTACTCGCATCCCCAGCAACGGCAGCAGCAGTGGCAGCGGCAGCTGCAACGCGTAATTGTTTCCTTGTTAGTTGCATTTGTGGCACGTTCACCTGACCTGCCACAGTGGCACAGTACCTCAGTACCTCAGTGGCGCAGATGCAGCCACAGCCGCAGTCGCAGCCACAGCGACACGTTAAATGCATTTATGAATGGCCTGCGATACTCACCCATCGTCAATTGTAATTACTTGGAAGTACTCTCAGTCACAGTTGCAGTCTGACTGCGTATATCTATGTATGTGTGTGTGCGTGTTGGCCTTCCGAGCATGTCCCAGCATTCATTTGCCAGACACGAGGACGAACATTAACGTTGCAAATTGTCCGCTTTGTTGCGGCTTCCAACCGCCGAGCACAACTCAGCTGCTCCCATAATGTTTCACGTTACGCATACGCCGCATTTACACTAAGCGCGCCATGGACTAGTGCAGCTAGCTATTAATTTAGTCCCCTGATTCGGACCTCTAATTGCATTTTATTTGGCAGTCGCAATTGTTTTTGTAAATGTTAGTGTTAGTGTTGTTGTTGTTGTCGCTGTAGCTGTTGTCGTTATTTTGGTTTAATTGGTTTTTGTGTGTTTTTAGCGCTGAATCTATTGGCCTTAATTAAAATGCAACTGTGCGTACATGCAATGTAACAAAAAGTCACTGCACACACACACACACACACGCACAGAGGGAGAAAGCGAGAGCGAAAGAGTAAGGGAATGTAGGGAACATTAAAAGAAAACAAAAAATAAAACGAGAGAGACAATCGAAAATGTTTGTCCTGCACCTGAGCTGCACTTTTATGACATTGTCACTGGGCCCTGAGATAAAATAACTGCAAAATGTTGACAGTCGACGTGGCAGCAGTGGGCAAGCATTTATTGACAGCAGAATGGCATGATTGCTGCTGACCCAAAAAAAAAAAAAAAAGAAAGAACACACACACACTCACTCACACGCAGATAGCTGATAGAAAAAGAGCTGAAAGCAGTGCGAAAAGGGTAACGAGGCTGCCTGTCGGCACTTCAAATTCACAAAACTCTCAAAAAAATACAGCAGAA